TCGGAATGCTGCTCAATGTGCAAGAACAACTCACCTGAAGACATCCCGAACCGCCTCCTATCCTGCCCAGAAGCAACATGGATCTGGAAGAAGATCCGGGAGTTGTGGTCGACACTGTTCTCAACCCCTCCCCCCCCAACATCCCTACCCTCTCCATCTTACTGCTATCTAACACTCCCAACAACATCAGGGGCAGCAGTGAAGTCTGGTTCCTCCTGCCCAGGAAATTGGCACTGTGGGTAATATGGAAGCGCAGGTGCACCCGGACAATCGAGGGAGCAGAGGTGGCAAAGGAAGAAATGTGGTCTCTACTACTGAGCATGGCAGAGACGGAAAGCAGGAGCAGATGGCGGAGAATAGCGACCTCTACGCAACACAGATCAGAAAGACAAGCAACTAGGAAGCAGACATTCAAGAGAGAATGGATGCTAAAGGGCAAGGTGACTCTGATAGTAGACAACAGATTGAGATGGAAGAAATGGCACCAGGCTATACCACAAAGACTATTGGGCCCCACCATGCTACCTGGCAGAAGGGTCGGAGCTGCGATTAACAACAATACTCAAAGGGTACACAGAGAAGTACAATGACAAACATCATAGCTTGTAGCGGACCCTTTCGCTGTTCTCGTTGTGCAAGGAATTATATGACAGGCTCTAAATAGAAGTCTGAGAGGAACAAGCGGCATGGGCAAGATGACAGTCAATCCTCCTTAGCAGGAGCAATCAATGCTGGTCAGTGTTGCATACCCTAACAGTGCAGACCAGTCTCCATTCCCTGACTCTCCTCGTACAGGATGACCTCCCTTTTGACTTAGTCTTAGGTATGGACTGGGGAGAGGCAGCAGGGGCCACACTCCACCTAAGAGAGCATGAGTGTAGGCTCCCTAGTCCGTCAGGCGGGGTTAAGACGGCCCGTCTGTTTCATGTGTCAGGAGTAGACAACTCCTTGGCACATTGTTGTCTCAGTGCTTCCGCATTCGCGCGGTTAGTTAAGGAGCAACAATTAGAGGAGCAGGTCTTCGTAGCATATGTGAGACCTGTCACTGAGCCTAAGGAAGAGAATCCAGTAGACCCAACTATTGCCAAGCTGCTGGAAGAGTTTAAGGACTTAGCAGAGCCGCCGAAGTACCACGACCGGTCCAGCACCGGATAGAGATAGAGCCTGGCAGTAGAACTCCTAAGGGAGTGGTCTACAGGATGTCCCCAAGGGAGTTAGAGGAGTTGTGCAAGCAGTTGGATGAGTTCCTCGAAAAGGATTGGATTAGGCCCAGTTCGTCTCCTTTTGGAGCACCAGTGTTATTTGTCCCCCAAAAGGAGGGAGAGTTGCGTATGTGTATAGATTACAGGGGTCTGAATGCTATCACAGTAAAGAATGTTGAACCGCTGCCCTGGATAGACGATCTCTTAGATCGAGTGCAGGGCTGCAGATACTTTTCGAAGATAGATTTCAAGTCCAGATATCATCAGATAGAGGTTCATCCTAATGACCAGTACAAGATTGCCTTCCGAACTAGATATGGGCATTATGAGTTTATAGTGATGCCTTTTGGACTGACCAATGCGCCGGCTATATTTCAGCGATGTATGAATGATTTGTTCAGGCCTTGGTTAGATAGATTCATCGTAGTTTATTTAGACGATATCCTAGTTTTCAGTAGGACCCTCCAAGAGCATCAGGGTCATTTGAGGCAGGTCTTGGAGAAGCTGAGAGAGGCTAACTTCAAGATCAATGCGAAGAAGTGCAAGTGGGCCAAGACACAAGTTTTGTACTTGGGCCACGTTTTAGACGGAGATGGGATTAAACCTGAGGACAGTAAGATAACGGCGATTAGAGATTGGCCGAGGCCCCGCACACTGACAGAATTGCGGTCGTTCTTAGGCCTAGCTAACTATTATAGAAAGTTCGTTAGGAACTTCTCTACTATCGCCGCTCCCCTTCGCAAGTTGCTAAGGAAAGAAGCAATCTGGACGTGGGACAAAGGCTGTATGTCCACACTTAAGAAATTAAAACGTGTGTTGATAGAGTATCCTGTCCTCAAAGTAGCAGATCCGTCGTTGCCATTTGTCGTCACCATGGACACGAGTCAGTATGGTATAGGCGTCGTGTTACAACAGGACGACGACAGTGGCTATAGACCCGTAGAGTTAATGTCAGCGAGGATGCCCTCAAAGAAGGTAGCTACCTCGACTTACGAGAGAGAACTCTAAGCTCTCAGGCAGACCTTAGAGCACTGGAAGCATTACCTGCTTGGGAGGCACTTCAAAGTATATTCAGACCACGGGACTCTTAGGTGGTTGAAGACGCAGGCCAAGATGACTCCTAAGTTGACTAGGTGGGCCACTAAGATAGACCTGTATGACTTTGAGCTCAAACCGGTCAAAGGCAAGTATAACGTAGTTGCGGATGCTCTAAGTAGGAGACCGGACTACTTTGGAGCTATAGTCCACTATCTGTAGATAGGGAAGACCTGCAAGAGAAAGTAAAACAGGCGTATGTGCAGGGCCCTATTTATGGTGATCTTCTCAAGAAGGTTAAGGAGGCCCCAAAGACTGAACCGCATTACCGCACTACAGAGGGATTACTGTTCGAGAAGACCGACGTAGTAGACCATTTGTGCGTTCCTAACAGTGAGGAGATCCGTAGTTTGGTCCTAGGGGAATGCCACGACACAGAGGGACATTTCGGTTGGCAAAAGACTCTAGCCAATCTGATGCATGCGTACACTTGGCCAGGAATGAAAGTTGACTGCATAGAGTATGTTCGCAGTTGCAAAGTCTATCAGAGGAATAAGACAACTACGCGTGCCCCTCTAGGTCTTCTTCGACCCTTGCCTATTCCTGCCAGCCTGGAGATTCAGTCGCCATTGACTTCATGGATGCTAGTGTTAAAAGCAGACATGGAAAGAGCCAAGTCACGGTTATAGTCGATAGATTTAGCAAATATGCAGTCTTTGTTCCGTTGCCTGCAGAGGCACGCACCGATTTAGTAATTCAGAAGTTTTTTTATCATTGGGTTAGTGATCACGGGATCCCGCTGTCCATAGTTAGCGATAGAGACACCCGGTTCACTAGTCAGAACTGGCAGGAACTGATGAAAGTTTATGGGTCAAAGTTGCTGATGTCATCTGGCCGTCATCCAGAGACTAACTGTCAGACTGAACAAATGAATAAGATCCTGCAGCAAGTTCTGCGCATGTATATTAGACCGGATCAAGTCAATTGGGATGAGATGTTGCCCAAGGTAGCTAGTGCGTACAATAATAGCGTGCACTTGTCCACCTGTCGCACTCCTAATGAGTTGCACAAGTCCTTTAGACCGCGTAGACCGTTTGAAGGACTTAACCGGGATCAGATTCATAGGCTACCACCCGGTACTAGGGAGTTTGCGATACAGCAAGAGAGGGAGTTAGCTACTGTCGTTGAGAACCTTAGGAAGGCCCAGCAAAGAATGATAGAACAGGCAAATAAGCACTGTCGCCCATGGCAGTTCCAGGTAGGCGACTTAGTCTGGGTCAAGTCCAAAGAGTTTGCTCCTGAGGAAAACATCTCGCAGAAGTTACTGCCAGCATATAGAGGACCGTGGCCAGTTCTAGAAGGTAAGGGCGGAGAGGATGGGCCGTCCTATACGATAGAGATCCCAGCACACCTCCACACCTCTTCGGTGTTCCATGCCTCGAAGTTATTGTCGTGCATCACAAGTCAACAGCTTCCCTCAAGAAGATCCATGATCCCTCCGGATGGATGGAAGATATGACATTGAGGGCATTGTAGAGGGAGACGTATTCGGAACAGGAGGTAGGGGTCGTCCGCGGAAACAGTGTAAGGTCCGATCTGCTTATCAGGAACCCGAGGACGACCGCTGGTTTACTAGGGCTGAACTAGAAACAGCTCCCGGCGTAGTTAGAGCCTACGAAAGAGAAAAGAAAGGTAAAGGTCCTGTCTTGGACTGAATTATTCTTGGAGGACCTCGAATTTAGGCTGGCGGGAGTGAAACGGCACTCACCTGTTAGCAGTAGCGAGTGTAGATCCCAGGGCTCGATCCCTAGTTGAACCCGTGACCTGTGTATTCGTAACAGTTGGTAGACTGTCGTAGGGTCCGTAGGTTGTAGGGGTTCGATCTGTAGACCTGTCGAATAGAGGTCTTAGTGAGTTCTCGAAGTCGTAGCTGTAGGATTCCTGAAAGGTCAAGGTCGTAGCTGCTACAGTCCTGAAGGGTCAAGGTCGTAGCTGCTACAGTGACAAAGGGCCAAGACTACAGACTTCCGGAAGCTCCGGAAGTGGCCCTTCACATGTTGCACACAGTAGTCCAGAGGCAAGTGGGCAAGTGGTGGAGTAGTCAACCTGTGCTGAGTTAGCGTTATCAGTCCCAGTCAGTCCTAGTCCAGTCAAGCAAGTACCGTATGGGACTGTGTGCACCACGGGCATGGGGAAGGGGCAGACCAACGAGTTACAGAAGCATAAATCTAGAGGCAGCGCCCAACCATTCATTCATTGCTGGGTAAGCCATGCGGAAGCGCTGCCACATCGACTTGTGCGAGGTGGTCTGCAGTATGCCCGAAGACGAAGTGGGCCGAAGGAGAGCTTAGCCATAGCGGTAGAGGTAGTAGCGGCCATAGCCGCCATAGCTGGGAGAACAGTGTAGCGTGTGTGTGCGTGTGTGTACAGTGATTTGCGTGTGGGATATCCAGGGTGATCCTGTGTGTGAACAGTAGAGTTAAGCTAGTGACAAACAGAGAGTTGTACAGGCGCTGACGCGCCATAGCCATCGGAAGAGAGCTTGTATCTGAACTGTATTCTTGGTTGCCATATCTCTGAGCTTTGAGTGGGCGCTTGTCGCCAGTTTGCTGTGCTACCTGTTTACATGCATGCAAAGTGGAAAAGAGAGTGAGTCTGATTGCAGAAGCGGAGATCAGAGAAGAATGGAAACAGATTGTGTTCTATATACTCTGAAGCTTCTGGACATTCTGATCGCAATGTTCAACTGTCAATTTTGTGCAGGAGTCTGCGAGAGAGGCCAATCTAACAATCATCCATGTCAAAGAGAGCCATAGAGATGATTTGAGTGATGTTCCCCTTTCGAAGCTGAAGCGAGCCTTGAAGCAGTCGGCAGGCCGCACACGGTCAATTGGAGATCATGTAAGTAGGAAGGCAGTGGCACAGGTGTTCCCATTGGTGATCATTCTGCACTGCACTTCCGCCCAATTCTGATCATGCTGCCCTGGGCCCCAAGTTGGTGTGATCCTACTGCCGAGGAGTGGGTTTGTTTTTGCATGTTTGTTTCCTTTCTTGTGTGCTGGCCATGGCTCATTTTAGTATGGGTCGGAGCAAGCCATGACCACCCATTTGTAGGCCATGTTGGGAGATACCGGGGTTTATAAGGTTTTCATATTTCACAAAGTGAATGACTCATCCACGCTGTCTCTCATTATGGGCAAAGGGTCCCTGTGGACGAGGTCCATTTGTTTTTCTTTCTTCTTTTTCCCTTTTAAAGCACTAGTACCTCGCCAGTGTTGGGAAAATAGGGAAAACTGGCAGTTTTCCTAAACTCCTGAAGAATTGGAGATCGGGCCGAACGACGGCTGCCATTTATAAATCTCATCGGCGGCCGTCGTTTCGTTCCGGCCTTCCTAAAAGGTTGGAGGTCCGCTATTTTCCCACTCGACAAAGGTAGTAGTGGTTTAAGAGCCACATGTTACGATTCTAGAAATCTCATTATGGGCAAAGGGTCCCTGTGGATGAGGTCCATTTGTTTTTATTTCTTCTTTTTCCCTTTTAAAGCACTAGTACCTCGCCAGTGGTGGGAAAATAGGGAAAACTGGCAGTTTTCCTGAACTGCTGAAAAATTGGAGGTCGGGCGACGGCTGCCATTTATAAATCTCATCGGCGGACGTCGTTTCGTTCCGGCCTTCCTGAAAGGTCGGAGGTCCACTATTTTCCCACTCGACAAAGGTAGTAGTGGTTTAAGAGCCACATGTTACGATTCTAGAAATCTCACAGTGCAAATCTAAAAAAGAGACAATGCTGTTCGATTGCAACTGATGAAAGAGATTGGAAGAAGAAGAATGGAGAATGGAGGAAGAACAAGAAGAAGATGAACACAAGAGACAATGCTGTTCGATTGCAACTGAAATGAAAGAGATTGGAAGAAGAAGAATGGAGAATGGAGGAAGAACAAGAAGAAGATGAACACAAGCTGGAACCAATGTCACTTCTCCCTCATCTCGCCACCATCTCTGTCCTCCATCATCTCTCCCAACAACATTGACAATCATCAAACCAGAATTAATGTCTGAATCTCCGTCGTACTGCCAGCATCACAAGAAGTCACCTTTGACTACCTACACCTCCTATCGCTACTTGGTTGAGCATCTGGCTATGGCGTCAGCATCCAGGCCTAGCCCGGATGCTCAAAGGACAATGCAAAGCTCTCTTGGAGCTGCCACTTCCACCACCAACGGCGCCAAACCTATATTACTCTTCGGAGTCTTCTTCACTTCATAACCCCATCCAAGGGCCTTCCGGATGCAGCGCCAACCAAGGGACGAAGATGTTGTCCACCATGAGACAAGGTAAGATTCCTCCTTCACTCTCCTCCTTCCTCCTCCTCCTTTCTTCCTCCTCACATAGCTGTGTCTTCTCTTCCGCCATAGCCCAGGTGGGAACCAACTCCACCTTCTTCCTTCACCCAGTGCCACACCAGGCTGGTGAACGCCCAAGCAACCTCACGGCTTGGACACGCGAAGAATGTGGTGACTTTCAGCTACCCGTCCTCTAGGTCTACCTCTCCCTCCCTCTTTTTGGCAGGAACATAGTCTGATATCTACCTTCAGACCTAGACCTAGGACCTACTTACCAGGTTTTCCAGGCCAGTACCTTCAAGAACATACCCCCCTAGACCTACCGGCCTCCAGGGTGCTAGCTCGGCCTAACCAAGCTACTACCTTTCTGTCCTTTTCTTCTCTCTACCTGCTGCTACTTGATTTTGGCCTCCACGCGCCTTCTTTCCCTCTAATCTACCCGCTGCACCCCAACAATACGGCCGCAGGGTTAGTACCAGGCACGTAGGCCTTCAACCCATACAGCCGCCCACACACATACACAGGCACTCGGACAGTCATGCACACACTCCACCCCCTCCTGCTCAAGATGGGTCATGTATCTTCCTTGGGGCAAGAAGCTTGGTTCCGCCAGACGGCTCACTTCGCATTGGTGTGTTTGATAAGGCTGAGGCTTGGGCATTCCCTGTCATACGTTGTCCCAATGCCTCCTCTAATCCCCCAGCACATCAGCCTCCAATTGTGCTCACGGGACAGCTGACATGGTTCAGGCATATCTGTAACAATACTGCTGACTTCAAAGCTGCAGTGACCTCCCTGGCACAAAGTATGCTTGCTAGGGGTCAGCCTCCCAGTGTGCTTCCCAGTGGTTGGACTACATATGTGCATGGCCAGCAGCATCGGATTCCCACTCATATCACCTGGCTTTCAAACTGGTTTCGCCGCATGGTGCACTGGTGAATTGCTCACCCACTGTGGAACGCTATTTCTGTGCAAAGGCAGCATCAGCCCTCCACGCAGCCACAAGCAGTGGGCCGCCACCCACTCCCGAACACCAATTCTGAACACAGGCAGCATCAGCCCTGTACACAGCCGAATGCAGCGGGCCCGCCCTCCCCTGTTATGCCTAATGGTATGCCAGCTAATAATGTGGATACTGCAACTCAGCTGGAAACCAGGCCAGGCGTAACATATAACTTAAATGTTGTCAAAGTGGCTGCAGGGGATGAGGGCTTTCCTCCTGCCAATACAGCTGCTGCCGAAACTGTACCTCCACCACCACTATCACCAGCAGCTCCCCCACCTACATATTCTCCTATACCATCCCCTCCATGAACAGCCTCCACCTCTTCCTCCTTTTTCTCCTACTTCTGCTCCTCCTCCCCCTCTGATGCCTCCCCTTCATCATTGTCTTCATTATCAACACATTCATGATCAAATTGGATTTTACCGAGGTGTCGACGGCAGAGGCATTCATGGTCAGATCGGTTGTCACAGACACCTCTTCGAGGGAGGTGTTCCCCATCTCCATCGCCTCCTCCTAAACAGCGGCCTCGTTTGTACTAGAACAGCATGACCATCGCACCCCCAGCAGGGGTTAGAGATCTTCGCCGACACCACACTCGCAACCATACGGAACGGCGTCTTCGCTCCCAATACACACTAGCCAGGAATAGTACATACCGAGTCCAATGCCCACAATGTAGCGATGATTTGTTTTCAAGACTGTTCTGAATATGAATAACATAGTTTACTAGGTCTTTTCGCCATGAACAACCATGATGTTACATGTTGAGCCTGTACACGGGCCCCATTTTGGGGGCCCAATGGTTGCTGGGGGCCCTCAGGCTGCACGCCCTTCGGACACGCGCCTTGGAGGCCCACAGCTGGCCCTTAGGCCGCATGATTTGATTCGAGACGGCATTTATTTATTTATTTATTTATTTTAAATTATTTATTTATTTTGCTGTCCTATTTTTGTCTGTTCAGGCGTTGTTTCGGACCTGCAGTCCCCAAGGCCGCGCCTTGGGCCAGGTTCACCAGGAGGCAGGCCTCCCTGGGCCAGGTACAGGGTGTGGACGTCCGGTCAGTGTCGAGCTCATCGGTCCCGCACGGGGACCCTCCCGGCCGCGTCACGCAGGATTTGGCAGGACTTGTCGCGGAGAGCGTTTTGCCGCTCCGGCCGAGTGCGCCAGCCGTACCTCTCGCGAGCCCCTACGACAGGACAGGGTCACGCGAGGCACCGCTTACCTCCACCTGCGGGAGCTGTCACCATCCCTTAGGTGGGCGTATCCCCGTCGAGCTACTCAACCTCATGCAAAGGCTTTCTGTATGCAATTGCAGAGGTGGCCCAACCGAGGGCGTTTCTCGTTCGCTGTAGCATAGGGGGTACGCGCGGTCAACGCCCAAAATCGAACCCGTACACGAATCGACGCACTGGGGGGCTGAGGTCCCAAGCGCAACTCGACGTCGGTCGACTAGGACGCATCACGCACACCACGCGTTACACCACAACACTAGTACCTACCCACACATAACACGTGCACACACAAACCAAGCTCCACAAACAACACCTCAACACAACAATACTCCTAGTCCCTTCAATATCCGACCCATAACTTTCTGATGCAAATATCGGATAGGCGTCGCGTGCGAGGCTTAGTATAAAACCGCGCGGACGCAGGGCTAACTCATATCGCTCCGCAATGCAAGCGTACGCAGGCGGTCGCAATGATGGCGTACTATGTAATACCCATACTCACGCGATCCTCGTTAATCTTGAGGGTCGCGTTCGACGCTCAAGTGTCGGCTGACACGCCGCCTTGAGGGTTAATCTCTCGACGCTGGACAAATGCCATGCGCGGTTGAAGACCACACCCTCTTTTGCACCCTGTGCAGAGGGGTTGAGTAGATAGCTCCAAGCTGTCGTGGCGGCCAGAGATCAAGGGGTTTGACTTTGACGGCTGCCACAGACTACAACGTCCAACCATGCTAATTCTAAAAAACAAGAGTTAAGAAGGGATCTCTCTTTCCTCTCGATGCAGAACTTATTTAATCACTGTGCGCGACCTCAATGGGTCGTGCGGACACAAGAAAATATGATATAAAAGTTATGAGATAGGAGACGATCACTCTCACAATCACGGTGTGGCTTCCTTCAAATATATATACATATGATGAAAAACCAAATCTGGATGTCACTTCACAGAACATACCTGCAATCACATCAAAGATTCACATCGACAGAGCACACACTACACGGGGTCAACTTCAACCATTCTTTGCGCTCACACCCCTTGCTTTAGCCATACAAGCCTCACTCTTTGTGCAACTCTCAAAATAAAATACTCAACATCTTTATTAAATGGCCATTCAATTAAAGTCCGGGTAAAAATAGAATAAAACAACACAAAATACAGGGCTAAAGCCTTTAGGTTGAGTAGCTAGAGTGGGTTAGAGTTGAGTCGGAAACCGACCTGTTATCTAAGGATAACAGAAGAGGTGATCCTTGCAGGATCAGCTTGAAGATAGTCAAGCCGTGAATCAATATGAATAAAGGTGACCTGCAATGCAGCACAGGCCAATACCCAAGCCATGCTCAAGTGATCAAAAAATAATCCTATCTTCCTAACTAACCTCTGATGTTTATCTAAAAATATAAGCAATTCCGGCAGGATGTCCCCTAACCAGGATGGATTGCCAGATTCCTCCTAGCTGAAATTAATCTAACTCTCCTAATTCTTCAAAATTTCGGCAGCGCTTCCCGTAGGAAAAGTGTCTTTCCAGAATTTCTACGAGTCCAAAAATAACTAACTATTTCAGATTTGTAGAAA